TGTTGATGAATTTTATAATAAAATAGGAAGAAAAGCAAAATACTCAAGTGATGAAGAATATAAAGAAGCTATTGAAGAAGAAATTAAAGAAGTAGAAATGTTTGTTGAAAAGAAAGAAAAAGAAAAAAAAGAGTTACAAAAAGAAGTTGAAGAAATGAAGAAAATAAATGGAAGTCAAATAAATACACAAGAAATTCATGAAGTTTTCATTGGTAAAATAAAAATGGAGGAGTTAAGAAAGAGGAAAGAAGAAGTTGGGATTAAGAAAAGAACAAATGATACAAAAATGATTAATTTTGAAAATACAAGACAAAGATTAATGAAAGAAGTAATTAAATTATATAAAAGAGCTGAAGGAACACGAATAAAAAAACAACTTACAATAGCGGAATATTTAAAAAGATATGTTGAAGAAAAAGGAATAAATAGACCAAAAATCAAATATTATGGAACAGTTGTAGAAAATATTGAAAGTGAAGAAAGGTTATATACAGCACTTGAAGCATGTTCTGGAAATGGATTATTATATTGTATTGTTGAAGATGATGAAACAGCTACAAAACTTATAGAAGTACTTGAAGAAAAGAAAATAGGAAGAATGAGTTTTATTCCATTAAATCAAATTAAAGGAAAAGAACAAGAAGGAGAAGAAACAGAAAAAGTGAAAAGTTTAATTAAAAATATTAAATATAAGGAAGAGGTAAGAAAAGCAATTGAGTTTGTTTTTGGAAATACTATGATTTGTAAGAAAGGAGAAGATGCAATAAAATATCAAAAAGAATATCAAGTAAAATGTGTTAGTTTTGATGGGGATGTTTTTAATGGAAAGGGTATTGTTACAGGAGGGTATAGAGGAGAAGGAATAATAGAAATAATTAGGAGTATTGAAGAAACAAAAGAAAGGATAAAAGAAGTAGAAAAAGATATTGCACGTAGTGAAGCAGAGAAAAAAAGGATTGAAGAAGAACAAAAAGAAATTATGAAAGAAATGGAAGAAATAAGTAGTAAAATAGCAGAGGAAGAAGTTAAATATGAAAAAGAAAGGATGGAACGAATGATTAAAATCAAAAAGAGTGAAAGAATAAGAGAAAGTATTAAGAACAAAGAAAAAAGGATAGAAGAAAATGAAAAAATAATTTTTAGAAATACACAAAAATTGTTAATACTTCAGAATGAGAAAGATAATAAAAACATAATTGATAGAAGTGAAATTGAAAAAGCTAAAAAGAAATTAGAAGAAATACAAAATAAAGTTAGAGAATTAGAAAAGAAAAGAGTTGAAATAGAAAATAGAAGACAAGTTTTAAGAAATGAATATCAATTTGGAATTATAAGTAGAATTAATGAAATAGAAAGAAAAATGAGAGAAGTAGAAAGTGGAGGGGATGAAAGTGATATTGAAAAATATAAAGAAGTATTAAGCAAAAGTATGGAAGAATTACAAAGAATTAATGAGGAAATAGAAAAGAAAATTCAAGAAGAAAGAACATTAGAAGAACAACAAGAAGGTATTGAAAAAGAAAAAGAAAAGAAAGAAAAAATACAAAATGAACGAGAGAAAAAAATGGCAAGATTATTTGAAAAAATGACAGTACTTGAATCAAAAAGAAAAGAACTTATTAAAAGAAGAGAAGAGATAGGAAAAAATTATGAAGAAATTAAAGGAAATAAAGGAGAGTTAGAAGATATGCTTGAAGAAACAATGAAAGAAATTAAAAAATATAGACATGTTAATAAAAAAGCAAAAGATCAATATAAAGGATTTATTGAACAACAAGAAGGATTAATTGATAGAAAAAAAGAAATACTTGATACTCAAGAAACTATTTATTCATTAATAGAAAGTTTAGATGAGAAAAAAGAAGAAGCTATTGAACGTACATTTAAAGGTGTTTCTAAAGGATTTACTGAAATATTTAATAAACTTGTTCCTCAAGGAAAAGGAACTCTTGTAATGTTAAAGAAACCTTATGAACAAAATCAACTTACTCAAACCCCATCAACACAAACACAATCTGAAAATAAATTTCCTATTACTTCACAGCCAAAAAAAATTAGAACAGAAACATATAGTGGTATTTCATTAAGAGTTATTTTTCCTGCTTTTGGTGGTGATGCTAAGACAATTCAACAACTCTCTGGTGGTCAAAAAACGGTTGTTGCACTTTCATTAATATTTGCTATTCAACGATGTGATCCAGCACCATTTTATTTATTTGATGAAATTGACTCAAATTTAGACACTGTCTATAGAGAAGCTGTTTCTTCATTAATCCAAGAACAGTCAAAAGAAGCACAATACATTGTTACTACATTTAGACCAGAGTTAATTCTTCCAGCTAATAAATGGTATGAAATCAAACACCAAAATAAAGTGTCTACAATTCTTCCAATAACTAAAGATGAAGCACTAAAAGTTATTAAAGAAGAAGGTGAGAATCAAGTAAGTAATGGTTATACTCCTTTCCAAACTCCAATGCAAACACCTCAACGTATAGACTCATCAGAGCAACTTACTCCAAATATTTAATTTACTTCTTTTGTTAGACTAGATAATTTTGATGTTATTATTTATTTTGGTTCTATTTTTAATATCAACCAGAATATCATTTTTAATTACTTAGATTCATTTAAATAACCTATCTTCTTATTTTCAATTACATAAGAACTTCATTTTAATAATGATTTGGTTCTAGAAAACAACAATTAAGTATAAATTGGTTTATGTATTATGAAATAACACAAATAAATAAAGAGTTTTTTCTTCAATTTTAGTTATTAAATAATATCTAAATTATAGTAGTATAAACAAAGAATGTATTCCATTAATTATTAAGTTAGTGTTATTGTAATTTGTGAGTTATATTTTTATTATGTGTAGTTTTACATCATTAATCTTGGTTATGGTGTTTTTTTCTGATTAATTTAATTAACTCTGGCTTAGACTTTATTTTGTTCATGCTTTACAATTGTTGTTGTGTTTTTCATAAAAAAAAAATACAAGTTAATAATTATTTTCATCAATCCTCATGGTAAATTTTATTTTATACACTTGGTTTGTTATTCAAAGTATGTTTGATGATTTTATTATTCTTTTCTTTTTACCAATCTGTTTCCATCATAATGCGTACTAGTTTAGATAAGCACAACTCAACAATCTTTATTTTTGTTGCTCAATAGTATATACCGTTTCTATACCAATACCAGCCATATTAATGATTGTTAATAGAATAAAAAATTATTTTACACTTCATTCATTCAGTAATATATATGACTAATATTCATATTGTAAATCAATGGTGTTTCTATTTAAAACATAAAAAATTTATACTTTTCAGAATTATTGAAGTGTTTGTCCCAATTGGTAACGAAAAAAAGCAAATAATATAAAGAGAATATTATAAAGAAAGAATAAAAGTAGAAATTAGAGAATATAAAAAGAAAGAAGATAAAAGTAATAAAAGAAAAAAGAAATTAAAAGAAGAAATGAAAAATGAAATAAAAAGTGTATTTTTATTGTAAAAAATAGAAATATTCAATAAAAGTGTCTAATATAATGATGCAAAATAATTGGTATTGTTTTATTAATGAAAAATATTTTATTATTTTTTATGTTTTTATTTATATGTATAACTTCATCATGATGTTTATTATATAATAAATCATATGTGTTATGTTATTATTATAACATCTAATATGTAATAAAATATAAATGAAAATGATATAGAATATAGAAACAAAATAATAATAATAAATGATAAATAAAACGAGAAATGATAATCAATGATATAATAATAAAATCAAAGTATAAAATATAAAATTAATATTAATATAAATCAAAAGAGAATAAATATAAAATGAAAATAGATATAAATGATAATAATATAAAATATGAATAAACAAATAAACAAATAAATCTAAATAGAAAATGAATAAATAAGAAAATCTAAAGAATATAAACATAAACATAAAATAAGAAGAATATAATAATATATAGATAATAAGAAGAATACAATGATATAAATAATATAAACAGAGAAATAAATATATAAAAATACTATAGATAAATAACATATAAATAAAAGAATAAAAAGAATAATAAAAATAATTAAATATGATTCATCAAATAATCTACTTCATTAATATTTCATACAAAATGAATACAATTGATAATAAAATATAAACATAAATATTTATATATTCTGTATTTATCATATTTTTTTATTTTTTTATTTTTATTTGTTAGGAGCAAAATATAATAAATGGAAAAATCTATGGATGCAAATTTTTTTGCATCTTTTTTCTTTTTTGTAAATTATTTAGATGCATTTTTCTTTGCTTATTTTCGTACCCACAAGAAAGTACAACACTAATTATTAAAAGAAATATGAAATAAAACCAAATAGAAACAAATTCTATGAGAAAAAGAAAAGGAAAAACTATAATAAAACAATTTTATGAATGTTAATAAATAAACTAAGAATAAATGGGGTTTATTAACAATGAATTGTGTTTCTTTTAGTCCATCACTAAGACGATTATTAATGTAAGCTAAATAATAACATTATCAAATAACACAGTAAATAAAAGCACTAGTAAGATTCGTGCTGCATTATTATATTGACTGGTTTGTATCAGTCAAATAAAAATAAAAGTAAATTTTGAATTGAAAAATGTAGATAGCAAATCAAGAAACAAAATTATTTAATTCTTTTCAACTTGATACTATTGTTAAAGAATAAATTGAATTATAATAATATTTAAAAAAAAACTATAACTTAGTTTAATTATTATAATACAATAGAAATAGAATTTAATTAAATAAATTACTTCAAATAATTTAATTAACAAAAAAAAAGAATAGATTTTGAATTTTAATATTCTTCTTTCCTGAAATTTTCTAATAATTAATAAATTGATAAAAAATATAATAAAATTAATATGAAAAATAAATAATTAGTTTTTGAGAACTTTAAAAGAAGATAATTCAATTAAAAGCAATGAGTTTAATGAAAAAAAGAATAAAAGAAACAATGGCTAAACCATTAATTGGTACATCATTACAAGATATGGTAAAAGGACTTAGATCAAATGCAGGAAATGAACAAGCATTTATTAATCAAACGATTGCAGATATTAAGAAAGACATAGTAACATCAGATATGAAGAGGAAAGCTATTTGTATTCAAAAATTAACATATCTTGAAATGCTTGGACAAGAAACAAATTGGTCAGGATTTCATATCATTGAACTTTCTGCTAAACAATCTTTTTGGATGAAACGAGTTGCTTATCTTGCTGCACAAATTTGTTTACATGAAAGTGATGATGTTTTAATGTTAATTACTAATCAATTAAAGAAAGATCTTCAAGGAACAGCATATGAAAGTTGTAATGCATGTGCATGTTTTTCTGCTATTGTTAATGAATCACTTGCTCGTGATCTTGCAGCTGAATTAGTAAAACTTCTTACATCAGGAAAAGATTTTTTAAGAAGAAGAGCATGTTTAATGATGTATCCAATGTGTAAAGAATATCCAGATGCTTTAAGACCATCATTTGCTAAAATGAAAGAAAAATTAAAAGATAGTGATCCTACAGTTGTTGCAGCAGCATGTGTTTCATTTGTTGAATTAGTTAAACATGAACCAAAACAATATATTTCACTTGCACCAATATTATATGAAATTATTAAAGAACCAATAAATCAAAATAATGATTTACTTATGACAAAGGCTATTAAAATACTTGGAATGCTTGCATCAGTTGAATTAAGATTAGCTAAAATTCTTGTAGAACCATTTAACTCATTATTACAAAGTAATATTACAAGTCCTATTTTATTTGAATTAATTAATGCATGTATTATTGGATTAAATAAACATATTCCCACAATGAAAACATGTCTTGGAAAAATTAATATGATGATTCAAGACAATGAAGGAAATATAAGATATTGTGGATTAAAACTTCTTGGATTAATGATGACTAAACATCCTAAAGCAGTAATTGAAAGTAGAGATACAGTATTAGCATGTTTATCAGATCCAGATGATTCATTAAGAAGAACAGCACTTGAATTATTAATTGGAATGGTAACAAAAAAGAATATTTGTGAGACAGTAGATAAATTATTAGTAATTGTAGAAAAATCAGAAAATTCATATTATAGAGATGAATTATTCTTAAAAATTATTGAAATTATTAAGAAAGATAATTATGATAATGTTACTGACTTTGAATGGTATTTAAAACTTTTAAGTAGATTATCAACTCAACAATTAGAACAATCTGTATTTAATGTTGTTTCTAAAGAAATATCAAATATTATGGTAAGAGTACCAGACATTAGATTGTTTGGTATAACACTTTTAAAAACTATTATTACTTCTCATAATTTCCTTCAAATGGCAAGTGGTTCAAATTTACTTGTTGAATGTGCTTGGTGTGTTGGTGAATATATTTATTATTTAACTAGTGAAGAAACGTTACAAATGTTAAGACATTTAATTAATGTTAAACATACCTCATTAAATCCAGACGTTCAAGCTTCATTCCTTGAAGCAGCATTTAAAACATTTATAGAAGTTGTTGATCCAAGAGACCCTGCTGATATAGAAGAAGCAGATGATGACGATGAGGTTATTTCAATCCCTAAAACAAAATTGTCCGACGATGATTTAACTAATCTTCTTGCTGAAATTGATTCAACATTAACTCCATTTGCTCAAAGCACTCATCTTGAAGTTCAAGAAAGAGCTTGTTTCATGTTGGCTATTGTAAGACAATTTGAAAGTTTAAGAGAACAAGGAATTGATGTTATTGATGAATTAAGATATTTAAATGATGAAATTCTTCTCCCAGTTAATCCAAAAGCACAAAGTTTAATTGAAGTACCAGAAGATCTTCATTTAGATGATGTTATCAATCCTGAATTTGAAGAAGCTGGTAAAGAAGATACTCCAGATGCATATTTATTTGATGAATTATCTGGAGATAAAAATGTTAAAGTTACAAAATCAAAGTCAGAAAGAAAAGGAAATGCCTTTTATATTGATGATGATTATGATGATGACTTATTTGAGAAGGATGATGATGAACCAAAAGAAACTGTTAAAGTTGAAATGAAACCTGTTGAAATGGATACTTTTTCAAATGGAGCAGAAGGATTAACAGCAGAAGAAGAATTAAGAAAAGCATTTACTTTAAGTAAGAAAAAAGGAACAAAGAAAGGTTCTTCTAAAGGAAAGAAAGGCAAAGTAACAGGTGAAGTTATGCCAGAAGTTATTAACAAAAAAGAAAAAATTGAAGAAAAAGATAAAGAAAAAGATAAACTTGCTCAAATTGATCTTGCTGCTCCTGTTAGTGAAAAAGAATTATTAGCATTACCAAAACATAGATCTCAAAAAACTACAGTTGTTGAAGTTGCACAACAAAATCTTCCAAGAATGGAAGGTGGTAAAGACTTATGTAAAAACAAAGCATTTGGTGTAAAATATTTACTTAAAACTAATAAGAAACATCCAACTAAAGTTATGATTCAATTAGAAATTGAAAATTTCTGTGAATTTAAAGCATCTGTTGCTGTTCTTATTAATCAATCAACACTATATACTATTGACTCTATTAGTAGAACTACTCCTATTCCTACTGGAGGTTATATCTTTGTCACTATCATCGCTGACTTAAAAAAGATTAATTCAGTTGTTTTGAAAGGTGCTATTAAATGTGCTGCTGCTCAAACAACATCAAATATTGCAATTAAAATTCCAGCATCTACATTCATTATTGGTACTGAACTTTCTAAACCTGAACTTGCTCAAATTATTAAAACAAAGAAAATGATTTCTATGGCTTATTCTGTCTCTGAAGATACAAAGTTTGATGTTGTAGGATTATTTGAAAGTCTTCAACTCCTTGCAGTTAAAGGCTCAGCTAATAAGATTTGGTATGGCATAACTCTTAAAGGAGATGACATCGCTATTTTACTTACAAACAAACAAGGTAAAATCGGTTTTGACGTTAAAACTACTGACAAAATTTGTGGAGATGCTATTTTGAAACAAATCAAAGAAACACTCGGACAACAGTAATTAACTGATTTTTGTTTCGTTATATAAAACATAATAACTCTTAGTTATTATAAGAGAAGAGAGAAAAATCAAATCATTAAGATTTTTCAAAAATAAAAGAAATAATAAAATAATAAGAAAAAGGAACTATAAGTATGAGAAGATAAGGAGGAAGAAATTGAAAAAGAACAGAATCAAAGAAGAAATATCAAATGAATAAGAATTTTGAACATCTAAAAACTGAAAAATACAGATAAGAAATGGTTAAACTTTTCTTAGTGTTTTCATTGTTTTTATTTAGTTATGCCCTTTATGATACATGTCAAACAGCTCATGAAATTTCTTTAGCTGATTTAGATGAAAATAAAGTTGCTTCATTTGATGGGGACACTACAAAACAAACAAACTTTTGTTGGGTTTGTAATCCCAGATTTGGATGTGGAGTTGATGAAAACTTATTCCCAAGATCTGCATTCTATAAGTTTACTTTAAAACAAAATATGCCAATTGAAATTAGTACTTGTAATACTTACACTAATTATAATACGAGAATTGCTGTTCTTACTACATGTGAGGCAAATAGAGCTCATACTTGTGCATCATCTAATGACGATGATGGAGAAATAAGTGTTTGTGCAGGAGGAAAGTCACAACTTGTATTTAATGCTGTAGCTGGAACCACTTATTACATTGTTGTTTCTGGAACAACTGCTTCAGATGTTGGAGTGTTTAGAGTAACTGTTAAAAAATTTGAAAATCCATATGAACCAACTTGTGCTGATGCTAAAACAGTTTCATTCCCAGGTACAATTAATGGATATATCGACAAAAGTATGCCAGTTACTATTCCAGGTCAAGTTGGAACACATTCATTTTATGGTACTTGGTTTAAATATGTATCTACTTCTAGCCAATCTGTTTTTATCGATACATGTGGAGAATATACTGCTGATTTTGATCCAGAGTTGTATGTTTTTGAAGGAACAGATCAAACATGTAGTGATGTTAGTAGTGTAGGATATGATGATAATACATGTGGAGGGTCTAATCCAAGAATTAATATTAACTTTATTAAAGGTAAAGTATATTATATTCTTTTAAGTATGAAAGACGGTGAAAAGGGACAATATCGATTAAATTTAAGAACTGGTGTTGCTGAAAATAATAGATGTACTGGAGCCATTGGAATTACTTCTCTTCCATTTAAAATTACTATACCAATGTTAAATTTTGTTCCAGAAGAACAAATGTGTAATAATAATAAATATGTTGGAATGTGGTACACTATTGTAGGAGATGGAGGAAGATATATTATTGATACTTGTGATAGTAATCCAAATGGAATTGGATCAGGGTATGCTACAGGTATTGAAATATATCCATATTGTTCTACTGGTTCTATGGGAGAATGTCTTGCTGAACAATATTATAATTGTGGAGATGATTCATTTATTGAAATGGAATTAGAGGAAGGAGTTCTTTATTATATTAGAGCAACATGTGCTATTTCAGATTGTGCTATTACATTAAAAGTTGATAAAACTGATGCATCGAATAACAACGCTTGTATTAAACCAAAGATTGTTTCATTATTTAAGGATGGAGATTCTTATGAAGACCTTAGTGTTAATGCAAGTAGCTTAGAACTTTCTCCAAGTGGATGTGATTCAGGAACACATTATACTCGTGGTGGATGGTATGCATTCCTTTCTGTAACAGAAAAAGTTCAACATATTGATGTTATTGTAACACCTAAATTACCAAATGATTATTATCCATACATAGAACTTCATAGTGATTGTAGTATGTATTATTGTGATGACACTTCATCAAATATGATATTCTCATTCCAATTTGCTCATAAACTTAGTCATAATTATAAGATTTTATTTGCTACTGTTAAGGCTAACAAAAAAAATATTGATCCTTATGGTTCATTTGATTTCTGGGCAACAATGAAGGGTTATATTGATGGTGATTCATATTCTAATCCATACAAAATTACAACGGTTCCATTTACACATGTAGGATATATTGATACTGTTGCACCATTTGTCTCTGCATGTTATTTGAAAAATCATAATAAAAAAGTTACTGTTAATGGTGCATGGTATACTTATTTACAAGCACCAAATAAAACTGTTATTATTAATACTTGTGGTCCAGAAACACATATTGATACAGCTCTTGAAGTACTTAAACCAGGAAAAACATTTGAAGAAAGAGAGTGTGTATTTGGAAATAAAGATGATGACTCACCTCAATGTGGAGAACAAGCTAGACTTAGTGTTTATGGTTTTGAAGAAACAACTCTTCTTTATACCGCTGTTATTAGTGATCCTGAAACAAGTAACAATTATGGTACTTATAGAGTTTCATTCTATTACGATGAACCACCAATAAATAGTAAATGTTCAGAACCTGTTTTTATTAATAATTTCCCATATGACCATTACACTTATATAACTAAGGCTGCACAAACAGTTATTACTTGTAATTCTACTTCTAAAAGTTCTTTGGGAACATGGTATCGTGTTATTGCTCCACATGATGGTACTTTCTATCTTTTAGCAGATGACCTTTCTGAAGTAACAACAACTATTGCTCTATTTTCATCACCATCATGTATTGTATCAGAAGGTATTAATAGACCAACTGAATGTATTGACATATTTGATCATAACAATTCTCCATATGGTCATAGAGGAAGTCACACAAAATTAGTAATGGAAAAAGGAGATGAAATTCTTGTTTTTGTTGGTGCTGATTCAACCGCAGAAGGTATTGTTCATTTCAAAATGACCTTTGTTGAAAAAGAAACACCAATTTTCATTCCAAGTGCTTTCTTCTTGAGTAAATTATTCTGGGTTATTCTTGGATATTTCATTATTGCACTTGCTATTCTCACTGGAGTTCTCTTTGGAATTCTTTATTGGTTCAATAACAGACATAAAATTGACTATGGTAAGTTATAATTCTAGGTGCTCATAAAAATATTTTTTTTATGGTTTTTTTAATTTCTGTTACCTTTTAAAAATTCTTATTAAATATAAAACTAAAATAATTGTATAAATTTTATTCAAGTGGGTCTGCGGAATTACTTCTTTTTATCGGTTGTATTGCTACTAATGTATTTGTAGAATTGGGTAATAGGGTTGGTTTTCTTTTTCTGAAGGCTCCCCTAAGAGTTCGAGGATCAACTTTTAATGTTATATCTTCAAATATCTCATCTGACACCCCTGCATCAAATACGTTGGAATATTCACCAAAAATATCAGTAAAATTTTCCGTATAAGGCGATGATTTGCCAAAGAATGTTGATTGATTTTCAATTATTAATGCTAATGCATTATTTAAAGTTGGGGTAATTGCTGCTATTGAGGCACATGTCATATCATTCTTTCTCATTAGTCCAGGTGCTAAACAAACAGCAATTGATTGAGCAGTCATTTTTGAATCTTTTGAATGAATAACTTCGTTGCATAAAAAAACTAATTTCTTTAAAAATGCTTTGTTAGAGGGGGGAAGTTTGTTTATCATACCATGTATTGATGCAATAAGACTCATTTTATTTTGGGAGTCCATACATGAAACTAATGGCTGAAGAAATTCTTCAGGCCAAATAGGGGATTTAAGGTTTCGAATAAACTTTTTTAATAATGAAGACAAAGTTGTATTATCTAAATTTTTATAGTCTAAAGATCGAATTGATTCATAGTATTTATTGATTTGTTCTGTGTCAGAAGATAATCGGAATAGTGTGCTTTTATCATTTTTTGAATAATACAATTCAGTCATAATTCGGTTTATACCAACAGGAACATGTTCTGTTGGATGATATTCGTCTTCGATAATTTCCTCTAAGTTTTTACAGGTGTAGATTTGATTTAATTCGCAATCCTCTTTGAATTCTTTGATCAACTGAATGTTAATTTAAGTAAATATAAATTATCAAAAAATAAGTACAAACTCTGGTTGCCGTATACTCAAATTCGGATGTATTTTCTAATGAAGGAAAAAGTTGTTCTACTCTGCTACAGAATGAAGTTAAAGCAGAGTAATGGCAGATATTTATTTTTTTATCATCTTGAATCTTTTTTATTTCTTCATTGTTTGAAAAGGAAAGGTCATCGACTAATAAATTAGAGTTGAGTTCTTTTGATAACTTTTCATACCAAGAAGACTATGACATGAGTTATTTTTTTTGCTACCTCAACACAACTACACATTCAACAGTTAACAAACAATAGTTTTTAATTTATCTGCTACCAAACTTTGATATGATCCAGATGAATTAATTAGTTGAAACATCGAATTTTTGTGAATTCCAACGGGGGTTGTATTACTTATAGAATGTAAATGAGATTGAATTTGAAGTATTGAGTCAATAACTTTTGGAAGATTTTTTGTAATTTCTTCACACCTCAATTGAAGAAGTTCGAATAATTGCATTTGGTCGGTGATATGCTTTTTCTTATCTTTTCGGTATTTTCGTTTTGTATTTATCATTTACAACCTCAAATAAATTTTTTTCAGTTTTCCTTTTTATTTATTCACTAAATTTCGTTTGAGAGTCTCTTCATTAGAAATAGAACTTGTAATTATTTCAAGAGCAAAACAAAACTAAGAACTTCAATCTTGAGATTGTGAAAAGGAAAGTGAATATCGAAGTATTTAAAGAAGGTTTTGTTCAGAAAATTTATTGAGAAAGTATGACTACTAAACAAGAAAGAAAGGAGATAAACCATATCAAGGAAATTGACTATTTGGACAAGAAGCTAGAGTATAAGAATATGAAGAATGAAATTAAATTCCTTCATAAGAAGAAAAATATTGTTGATAAGGATGACTCATTAGCTGAAAGACGTGATGCTCTCAATGATGAACTTCACCAACGTGAAAATGAACTCTCTCAATTGAAAACTGAGTACAAACAAAGAAAGTCTGAAAGGGCTTCACTTGTCCATCGTTTGGTTTAGTATGACATTTTTCTAATTCAGTTATTTTTATTATTCCCTGAA